TTCGTTATTCTTTATGAAACTAGTTGAAATTTTGTAATTATGTTTGGTTATGAGAACTATAGCTCTGACAAAAATATGGAATCGAAATAAAGTATATTACAGGAGATATTCCGTTGTTTTAATCATAAAATGGATTTCTATTTCACAACTAGTGCCAGTACTTTTCCGCGTATCAAGATCATCTGGTTAGTACTAACAATTATTTCTGTATTTTAGATTCTGTCAGGTTGTATTGATAACATTATCAACGAATGGCAGTCTCCCAAAACCATCTCAATACGTTGATAACTACAACTCATATCACGACGCACAAGCCAGCGCTCAGCCTTCTTCCTATATCGCAGCGGAGTTCGACATTGTTGATTTTGAAAAGTTTCGAGAATTTACTGTGGGTGATGGTAGTGTTAGTTTGGGCGTGGTTGGCATGTCAAAGTATGGTGCAGCTGTTAGGGAGTATTTTAATGGACCATTGTCTTCTGATACGCTTTACACAGTATATCAAAGATTTTATAATGAAAAGGATTTGGTCTACATTTCTGATTTTCTCCATCCAACAAAAACCAAACAGAAAGACAACTTTGATGAATTCAGAGGATCTCAAGGTATGTTGGTGGAGCTATATAGTATGAATAAAGTGAGTCTAGTTTAGATTTCGTAACTGTGGATTAATAAGAAATTATCCTTACTGGACCTCTAGGAAGAACAGTTTAGAACCGATAGAGCTATCCAGTATAAATGAAGTTAGTTTAGGTTTCCTCCTGTAGTAACCCTGGATCAATAAGAGATGATCCTTACTGGACCTCTAGGGAAAACAGTTTAGAACCGATAGAGCTATCTAGTATAGATATAAAGTTAGTTTAGGAGGATAACAGTTTGGTACTACTAGAGCAAGATGAAGAATAAATAAAATTTTGTCTAGTTTATATTTCTTTCCATTTTAATAGCTGAATCAAAGACCTCACAAGAAGACTTTAAACTGCCTTTTATTCTTGTTATTGTGCTGTTGTTAATCTTTCTTCTTATACTTGGTGTAGTCGTGATTTATAGACGTCGGTATATGCAGATGCAACAAAATAATGTTCAACTTACAACGGAAACTTGCCCGCCCAGTGGTAGCTGCACGATCAATCAAACAGGGAACGAAAATGAACAGGAAAACAATCCGGCTAAAGTTTAGGTGTCATACGTGCGATATTTGGGCAACTTGAGCTCCCATTTCGAGAGTAAATTTCGTAGCTTTTCTGGTAGTGTCCTGGTGAAACAGGATTTAATTTCTGCAATATGCGATTGTCTGATTATAATTTCACCTCCGTCACATGTGAAAAGAGTGGTTAAAGATGCTGTTCAGTCCGTTCTGCGCACGCGTGCATTCGAGTCTCCAGCATCTGATACAAGCAGCTTTACCAGGTTCTTTGCAAAGCCTTATCAGTGTGCTACCTTGATCATTTCGTTTATTCTGGAAGAACTTTAGTGTTTATAAAGTTCATAAGTTTGAGTACAAAAATGTAAACAAAACTGATGCGTATCAACGAACTGTACCGCATCAAGTTTGACTCAGCTCTGAAACATGTTTCTCTGGTTTTTCCTGTAGTAACAACAAAAGATCAATGTTCCTTATAAAGTTAGTTTATGATTCTTCCTAAGGCTACACCGCAAGGGTTGTGTCTGAAATCTGCACGTTTGTTGTTTGAAAAGCAGCATTGCTGTTATTGACTCTATTAGCTTAGACTATTAGACTATTTTTATTAATATATCAGTATAATTTCTAATATTGTAACATATAGAATTTTAGGTGGGGATACAGTAATTGGAGTAACCTTTTGTACCTACCAATTTTACCAATTTTAGTGGTTTAACTAGTGATTTAAAGTTTAAAGATACGATACATGGACATCTGAAGTAACTCAGTAAAGGGTAAATTGTACTGCACGAAATGATAACACTGTCCTGTCAAGTAAAATTATTTAACATCAATTTGTGTCACACAAAACAGTGTCATTACATTTAAGAGCAAATAAATCAAATTCTAATTAAAATTTTGGGAAAGAAAAACGTTTTGACTACTTTGTATCGCGCCTGTAAGACTTTAAAACATCAAAACCATAGACGTTTTTGGAGAAATGAAAGTAGAATATCTCCTGACCGAATTTTTAAAATTGTATTCTTTTATCGTATTGCTGTATTGTTTACAGTATTATCACAGATCAGTAATTATAAGCAATATACTAAATTAAAATTTACTTTACTGACGAAAAAGCCTGATTAGTTACGAGAAAATTTGCATATCATATTGCCTTTGTGAACCATATGTTTATCTAAGGCTCAATTTCAGTGCTGTTGTCTAGGATATTAAACTAAACTGTCACGTTAATGCCGGGTTTTTGGCATATTTTAAGCATATATCTGTAACAATTTTACGATGCATTGACATTGATTAAATTCTGTAGTAGTTACAGTGTACAAGACACGCTTTCTATATGCAAGCGATGAATCGACCATTCTGTGCTAGCAACAAACAGCTTGAAAGGAAATGGCAGGACATGGCTTACCAGAGACACAGGGAAAAGGTTAGACTGTAGAATTATATGGTTCTTTTCATTTTTGATGAAGATAAATGTATCGGCGGAATATATGTGAATGATGGGCCACGCTTATTCCTTTGTTCTAAAGCCAAGTCAAAGACCCAAAGTACAGCTAATTCGTTAAACCTATAAAGCTCTTAGACCCGATTCGCACGAGACTGACCCGTTTTTGCAATTTTGCAACGATTTCTAGCTGACTAGCTTGGTTTTTTCGTCTGACGCATGTGAATAGTATAGATGGATTATGAATGTCCTGAGTATATGTACCGTCATATGGGTTATGAATATGTACCCTCAGCAGTCAACATTCATAACTCATAGGAATCGTGATTCAAAGTGCACAATTGGGCTGTACACATCTCGTCGAGACGTAGGAAACTGGACTACGAATTCGTGGAGAGCTAATCGTAGGAATTCTTGGTTGTGTGAACAAATGTGAACTGACGAATTTTCGTACAATGTCAAATGTCCATTCTTGTGTGAACGTGGTGTTAAAACATGATAAATTAAACCGTCTGAAAGCTTGAAAGCAAATCGTCAAAATGGAACATGTGGTTTTTACATTTGTGTTCACCTCTGCAACCCGAGTTAGATTGCTTCAATATTAAGTTGTCTTATTATGAATTTCGTTTCAATTGATGTGAGGAGAGATTCTGACACCACAGGTTGTTTTCGGGTACTCTTTGTTTTCGGGTAACCTTCACGTTGTCCACGAAGATGCAGTTTAGAACTGCAAGATAAAGTTTGGTATCCTGTTTAAAAAGTTTGGGGATTTGGGGCACGTAACACGAATTCTATCGCTATAATGAAATATTTTTGTATTAAGTTAAAGGCAATCAAGCCAAGAATTCGTCAGGAGCTGAACAAAAATAAACAAGAGGAAACCTATCGTGTACAGAGAAGATTAATGAGAGTTCTGGTAAGTATTTTGCAGAAACCAGGATAACGATGACAAGAACAAGAAGAACATACAACACTACCGCAAACAACAACAACACCGAGACGACAAGAAAATGACAGTAGCAACAAAATTAAAACTACAACAACAACAACGACAACGACAACGACAACAACGACAACGATACGGAATAGCAAGCAAAATTTGAAGAAACTATCAATATAATATTTGGTTCAAGGGAGAGGAACGACGTCAAGAAATCATTGCCAAAGAAAATAATGCTCTCCTTGTCAGAATTTTAAACATCATGGCTTCCCCAAGTCGCATTGACACGTGGAACGTCTCGTATATAAACAAGTAAGAATGACCTTCGATATTATGCCAAGGAAAGTTCGACCCCTGAAACAAATTCTGTGATTCTATGTCAAAAATGTGTCTGGTGTTTTTTTTAATTCCATGCTTCGTCCTTACAGCGCAAATGCACGGAGAGAGAGGGAAATGAAAGAAAGTGGACAACAGGTTTGTATGTGTGAAACATTTTCACTCCTCAAGCGATTTCATAGTTTAACTTCATTCTTATTTTTCTTCAAGATTGCCAAAGACGAGAAACCAGAAAAAGAAGAGAAAGATAAGGCAGAGGAAAAGACTACACAGCTTCCACCAATTCAATGATGATATAAAACTTCTGGATAAACATTGAACGCTTTCATTAAGTGAAATGTAAAAAATGAAATAAAACAATGTATATATTTTTTAGCTTTTTAATTGGTTGTCATCGCCAACAGTTATCAGAGCGATAAAATAATGTTAATTATTTTCATTGTATGTAGTTGTACGGTGATTGCTAGATAGTATACTTCAAAATAAGGTTTCCGTTTTTATAACGTAGAAAAAACTATCCTAACGCAAAACTAAACCCTAACCCTAATACTAAACCTAACCCTAACCCTAACCTAAACCCTAACCTAACCCTAACTTATTTTCAAAATAGAATAAAAACGGAAATCTTATTTTGAAGTATACTATCTAGCAATTGCCGTAGTTGTACGTTCTGCGCAGGCCTACATTCCAATGGTCGAGACCCGACCATTGAAATGTAATTTGAAATGTTCTTAATATTTTGCACCTTCCGAACTTTCTTAAATTGAACGTCTTGTCTGTATTTATTTACAAGCATAGCGAACCAGAAGAGTGTTAAAAATTCAGTATAATAGCGAACCAGAAGAGTGTTAAAAATTCAGTATAATATATATATATCTAATCATATTTTACAACTGTAGCAATGACTTCAAAATGTAAACAAAGTGTTTGTTTACATTAATTAAGCAGTAAATGTCCATATTTCTTTATAAGTTATCTACCATCTGCTCCCTGAAAGGCTTGCCGTGCTAAAACCACAGCTCAGTGGCTAAACCAACAAGTACCCAATTTACAAATTCCGAGAGCCCCCTTAAATCAATTCACGTCATTTCCCATTCCACCTGACGTTCCAAAACGTGCGGGCTAGAGTGCAGCCTGCAAAGGCGTATGGGATGTTCTCCGTATCAGTGTATCGAAGGCAAGCATGGCGGAGATTTTGAGTTGATGGCGGTCAATAACAACTGCATAACACATGATTTTCGTCGTCGGATCGCTTGCTTTCGACCCGATTAAGTTTTGTCAATATTATGGCAAACACAAGGCGGCGTGTCAAGCTTTATGTAATGAATGAGGACAGGCAATGGGACGATCGAGGAACGGGTTATGTTTCTTCATCCTATGTCGAATTATTGCAAGGAATAGCTCTACTGGTTCGATCTGAAGAAGACGGTAAAGAAAACCTCGATCAATTGTAGTATACAACCCAGTTGAAGCTCTGTTAGACTGCCTTGTTCTTTAACAAATCCTGCTATTCGTTGAGGGCAAATTTAAGCTCGAAATTGGACAAAAATAAAAGCGGATTTTTAAAGAACGAGTCGGCTACTACGTCAAGACTATGACCATAGATTGCATACTTCAAATGAATGTAAAAACTTTGATTTCACGCCAGATTTAGAGCTGGATGTATACTAAATTTAACCACTTATTCTTTCTAGGTAAAACTCTTCTAGAATCGAAGATTCATCCACACACGGCCTACCAAAAACAACAGGTTAATAATAGCTTTCAAGAATCGAAAATATTTCCCCATAATTTCTTGTGTGTGACTTTAAACTTCATTCGTACGTCTTTTTCCGCTTTTAGGACACGCTGATCGTGTGGGCAGAGGCAGATAATTATGATTTAGCCCTGTCCTTTCAAGAAAAAATTGGTTGTGATGAAATTTGGGAAAAGATCTGCCATGTATGTGGTTGTTTATATTTTTACGTTGTGCATTGCGATACTGTATACTCTTTCCGGAAATCAAACCACTATGTACATTGAAACACGATCATCTGTCATTTGCAAAGAATCCTAAATAGTTTTACGTTGCTATGACTTTTCGTTGAGGAGTGTTTGCTGTGATTAAGTATTTGTTTATATCACTTTACATATACCAATATAAAACACGCTAATTTCGTGTAGTATACTATGTTATTGATAGCTGGAAGTTCAATATCGTATTTATTGTTGGTGTCTGTGATAGTTTATCAGACAATCTAAGATGTTGTTTAATTGACACCTTGGTATTTATAATGTTGCCTGTAATTAGATATGCAATTTAGTTTGTCTTGATCCTGGGGTCCAGTGTGGGTAGCATTCTAGAATAAACTTCCATGATTCGTGTCGAAACTACAGTATCTGAAAAAGATATCTCAAATGTATTTGCCTTCCATGTTTGGTGAGGGTACGTAAAATACGTACTGAGAAATCAAAGCCTACTTTTGTCTGTGCCAGAAATAGTGAAATTTTCAGAATTTTTATGAAAATTTCTGGAAAAAGATATCTGAAATGTGGTGGTCCAGTGTAGGTAGTATTCTACAATAAGTTGTTGTGTTTTGTGTCTGAACTACCAGAAAAAGATATCTCAAATGTGGTAGTTCATCAGTGTAGGTAGTATTCTGCAATAAGCTGCCGTGGTTTGTGTCTGAACTACCAGAAAAGGATATCTCAAACGTGGTGGTCCAGTGTAGGTAGTATTCTACAATAAGCTGTCGTGGTTTGTGTCTGAACTACCTGAAAAAGATATCTTAAACATGGTGGTCCAGTGTAGGTAGTATTCTATAATAAACTGCCATGGTTTGTGTCTGAACTACGGTACCTGAAAAAGATATCTCAAACATGGTGGTCCAGTGTAGATAGTATCCTACAATGGTTTGTGTCTCAACTACCTGAAAAACATATTTATAAAACATTAAAGTGATCAGACCATCTCAAATCTTCAGCATTGTTGCAGCAAATTGCAGCACCAGCCAGAAAAAGTTAAAATCAACTGAATGCTGCCAAAATTTTTATGATGTTTGAACTGATTGATTGAACCAAACATGATATCAAAGTATGTATATTTTGCAGGTTCAAGGGAAGGACCCCTCGGTCACGCTCACTCAAGAAATTGGCGACGACAGTGAATTTGAAGAGAAATTTGACGAAGTGCCTGATGCAGCTGCTCCGATCGAGCTTCCTCCGTGCGAGCTTAGTCAACTTGCGGACATTTCAGCTGTGTTTACTGGTGTCCTGACCTCGCCGATACGACGTGAAAAATTAGCACTTGCTATCGAACAAGAAGGATATATCAAACAACTTATGGAATTATTTCATATGTGCGAAGACCTTGAAAATTTTGAGGGACTTCATCATCTGTTCGAGATTGTTAAAACATTATTTCTTCTTGATAAGAATTTTTTATACGATACGATGTTTAGTGAAGGTATTATAATGGATACATTGGGATGCCTTGAATACGATCCGACAAAGAAAGAGCCACAGAGGTATCGGCGTTTTCTGAAAGATCATGTTCGGTTTAGGGAGGTTATTCCAATAAACAACGCAGAACTTTTATCAAAGATTCATCAGACGTATCAAGTGCAGTATATTATGGACATTGTGTTGCCAACGCCGACCGTTTTTGAAGAGAACATGTTGCCGGGTTTAAATGGATTTTTAATTTTTAGCAAGTTTGAAATAGTTAATATGGTTCAGGTATGAATTCCTTCTTAATGTTTGCCACTCTGTATAAACACTCACATACAAAAGCATTTTCATTTCTCACATGGTACATTAGTAGATTAGTAGCGAGCATTTGAAAGTCTGAATCAGCTTAGCGGGTTGATGTGAGGCAAGTTAAATATGATTGAAATCTTAAAATGATGTTGAGATTGTTGACAAACAGCAATGTTTCACATGTGAATAGATTGTTTTTATTTGCAAGTGTTTATGATGCAACACACAGTAATACATAATTGTTTTAACCCATTGAGTGGCAGCACTCTCCCCTTGTTAAATTCCTTGAAGTATACTACTATAATTTTTATTCAACCTTTATCATTTAATGCTACAGGAAGACAACAAATTTCTGGAAGATTTTTTTATAAACCTTTGCAATGAAGAATGTTCTCTTGAAAGAAGAGGACAGCTGGTTCAGTTTCTCAAGGAGCTGTGCTCCTTGGCGCAACCAATGCAACATGTCAACCGAGAAGAGTTCTTCAAGGTAATATTAGTTTAAAGTAGCATTGGGAAATATTAAAAAATATCATATTATTGTCTAGGGAGTTATTACAACATTTGCGATAAATGCAATAAAAGCAATGGCCACAGTTTCAATTTTAGATAATATGCAGTAAAAAAATTGTTAACATAACAATTAAACAACATCAATAACCAATAAGATATCAGTTTATCTCTTATTGTAAAGAACAAATTTGATGTAAAGATCCAACTAAAACAAGTAAAAACCTTTTTGAATTCAGCGTTGCATAAACCTTAGCTGCCCACTGCGATACACATGCCAAACAATATCACAATAGTCATTGATCATGGTGACAATTACAGTATATTGTCACTCATGTTTCTACCATCGATACCGTAATCATGAGTAAAAATATTATGGTTATATCGAAGTATTGCCCAATCTTAGTGACTGAAATACAGCAGATTTAGTGTGTTCTGTATTTAACCACATATAACTTTGTTTGTTTTTTATCAAGGCACTCACAAACCACAATCTCCTTCCTGCGTTGGAAATGTTATTGGTAGGTCTGGTTTCTTTCAAATATTAATTAAATATGTAATGTAGTAAATAAAATACTGTTCTGAGTGTGTTACCCAAACTAACTCTCTTTGCTGAGCTGATTTAATCCTGTGTTTGCATGAGACTTTTCAGGCGGGATTGAGATTTTTTCATGAACCTGAAATTTGCACTTTCGCAAGCAACTTTCACAGTTATAACCCACAGAATCATTTAGAGACCTTTTAAGATTGAAATCTGTTGAGAAAATCTTATTTATAAAAAATATATTCACATGAACAAAGCAATAACTCTCAGCCCGGGGCATTGCGTTTATATGGAAAATTCCCAGCCCGGTTACCCAAGATCTCGGGTCAGTCAAGGTGGGATCTTGCTTGGGGTGGGCCAACTCGGTTTCCATATAAACACAAAATGAAGTTTAGTAGGAGATATAAACAAAACAAAGGCGGGATCTTGCCTAAACTGGGCCAGTTTGCCCCATTTATACAACCACAAACTCAGAAATAATTGACGAGTCAATTATAATTACTTTGTTTTAAAGTACTTTGCAACAAATTCAAAATTTCTATGACTATATTTCAACTTATGTTTTCCCCCAAAATATGAGTATAGTTCTTTGGTAGATATGCTGGAAGATTGGTGTTAATTTAAATGGTTTTTCTAGGCAATGGATAACCCGACAATTCGAAGTATCGCAGTTGAGATTTTCGCACAACTTTGTGAAGTAAGGCCATCTTCTGTCAGAGAGTTTGTCTTGCAAATGGCAAAGTCACAACAAGATGATGTAAGTGTTGTAGTGCTGTCCTAACCTAAAGTTGCAATGCTCTATGCAAATCCATGCAAGTTGTTCTTTTTCTGATTTTCTTTGTGTCTAAGATTACACGAATTTATTATGTCTAGTGACAGACACTTACTTGTCTAGGACTTAATGTTCTATACTTCTATATTTATCAAATTTAGTGTAGAAATTATTACGGAATAACAATTATACTAGGCAGAGTAACAATAGGACACAAAGTCTCTTACAATTAAGGTTAAGTGCCTAATACAAGGTTAACTGTCAATGGTATTAAATATCAGGCCTCGAATTTCCCAGAAATCAATCGACAGCAATGGTGTTAAAAATTGCCGTAGAACAGCTGTCTACGACAATTTTGGCAGTTTCCAAGGCATTTTTTCAAATTACTGTAATAAAAATTTAATTTTATTTTTACTTTGGATTGTTGACAAGCTAGAAACATGTTTACATATTTCTTTAGTGTTTTTTTTTAAGAAAACTGAGACTAAAATGGTAATTTAGGCATGATTTGATCAACTTCTGAATTCAAGTATCAAAATAGTAATGCACAGTGAATAATATAAGCTATAAAAATTACATTATATGGCAATATCAAAATAGTAATGCACAGTGAATAATATAAATTGCCGTTGTCGCCGCAATGATCCACAGCATTTGGTTCTCCAGCATTTGGTCCTCTACGGCAATTGCTGCGATAAAATTCAAGCCCTGCTAAATCTTAACCAGCTTTTGTCGTGGAGACCCTGGTTCAATCCTTGGTCAGACCTCTGCTCAAGCTCTTAAAATAATTGAGGAGAAAGATACATTACAGATACTTACATTGACATCAGTAAATGGTTAGACTTTTGCATCTTCTTGCATAAGGATGTTAAAATAGTAGGTTTAGTAGCAAGTTCAAAATCGCAGGATCGATTCCTGCCAGATGGCATACTATATAGTCGCATTTAGATTTAATAAATGTATAAAATTCTCACTCGGAATTCCCAGCTAAAAAGCCTTTCAGAAATTGGTTTTATGTACCTCTGTTTAATTTAGGATTCAATTTTGCTCAATCAAATAATTCATCAAATGATCTGCGAGGGAGATTCAGGTAATTAAAAAAAAATGAACATTCACTAAAGTAAATATAGAGAATTAAAACTGTGTAAAGAAAATTTAAAAAGTTGTTGGATCTCATCAACTGCTCATTTGACCGAGGCTTGAGATTCTGATATAAAACTCTTTTTTCCAGGGATTGCCATTCAACTGTCACAAGTCATTCGCTTGCTGCTCGATCCTGAAAACATGGCGCTGACAGCTAATGTAAGTTTAGCCGTGGAAAAGTTTCCTTTTGTGATATGTTGTATAGTAATATGCTATTTTCCTACTTCCAGAAAACGGAAAAGACGGAATTTTTAAGTTATTTTTACAAGCACTGTATGCACATACTCATCGCCCCACTCCTGGCTACCACCGCTGATGGAAAAGTTGGAAAATGTAAGTGACAAAACAGGCTGATACGTTTCTGATACCGGTACACAATAATTGATGAGGAAAATATGACGCTGCATTGTTGTCTTAAACAAAGCAGTATTGAAAAAACTCTGGTATTAAGACAGATTCTTTCATTTCTATTTAATTTCGCTCATGATGTTTTTGTGACTTGGTTATGACTATATTCAATTTTTTAAATTTTTGATAGTTTCTCAATCGGCAAACAAACTTAAAAAGTATGTTTAGTGCTTTATCTGTAAAATTATGCTAAAATGAAGAGATTTTAGATCAAAGAGAAAATTATGTCTGAAGTTCAGTAAGTTTTGCTTATATTGCTGTTTGAATATGCAGGCGTCAATTTTACAGCATCAATGATAATTGTATTTCAATTCACAATATTTAACTATTAATTTGTTTTTCTCGACCGCGATGCATTCAAAAAGGTTGCCAACTGTGTAAACTACAAAATAAACCTAAAACAAAGTTATTTTGAGAGGAACGCCAAAAAGATTTTAGGTTTTGAACATTTTTATCGCAAATATGGGACATTGAAAAAAAATTGCAGTCGTCGTTTGTTATTACTTCTAGTGGATTACAACACAGCGGTGAATCTCGCCCTAATTCTGGACATCTCATCATTCTGTGTTGAACATCATACGTATCATATCAAGAATTACGTCATCAGTAAAGATCTGCTTAGGAGGATACTGATTTTAATGAAATCTGACCATAAATTTTTAGTTTTAGGTAAGTTAAAAATTCTTCATATTGAGTAACAACGCAACAAGTGTGTTGGTCAATCCTTACTCGACCTCTAGGAAGAGCAGTTTAGTACCAATAGAACTATCCAATGTAAATAAAGACAGTTTGGTTTAGATTTCCTTCTGCAGTAACACTGGATCAATAAGAGATGATCCTTACTGGACCTCTAAGAAGAACAGTTTAGAACTGATAGAGCTATCCAGTATAAATGAAGTTAGTTTAGTTTAGATTTCCTCCTGTAGTAACACTGGATCAATAAGAGATGATCCTTACTGGACCTCTAGGAAGAACAGTTTAGAACTGATAGAGTTATCCAGTATAAATAAAGTTAGTTTAGTTTATGTTTCCTCTTGTAGTAACACTGGATCAATAAGAGATGATCCTAACTGATAGAGCTATCCAGTATAAATAAAGTTAGTCTTAGTTTAGGTTTCCTCCTGTAGTAACACTGAATCAATAAGAGATGATCCTTACTGGACCTCTAGGAAGAACAGTTTAGAACTGATAGAGCTATCCAGTATAAATAAAGTTAGTTTAGTTTCATTGCTATTTCAAAATTCATGTTTTTATTTATTTCCTCAGGTGCCTTGCGCTGTTGTCGTCGGATAGTTGGTCTGAAAGATGAATTCTATAATCGCTATATTGTCAAAGGGAAACTCTTTGACGCCATTGTGGATAGTTTTAAATGCAATGAAAACCGTTACAACCTCTTGAACTCGGCTACGGTGGAACTTTTTGAGTTCATACGACAAGTACGTAGATGTTTTTGATGTTACTCTGAGTGTATATCCACACCGGACAGGCTGAAACGTTTGCCTGACCAACCTGGTCAGGCTAACTTTCAGCCTGCCCGGTGTGGATATACACTCAGAGTAACATCAAAAACATTATATTCACCTGAGTACATAACATCAAAACACACACAAAAAATATCAACTACGTACACGTTTGATTATCGAAATATAAATGTTAAATCTAAGTTTAAAATATTTTTTAAATATATTTTTTAATACTTTTTTTGTAGGAGGACATCAAAACACTTTGTTCATACGTTTGTAAAGAATATAGCTCAACCTTCAAGAATGTTGATTATGTCAACACTTTTAAAGGATTGTTTTTGAGAGTTGAACAAGAAATTGACAGAGTGAGGAAGAAAGAAGAAGAGGCCTCGAAAAATAATGAACGGTAAACAAAGTAATTTTATTTATACTGGATAGCTCTATCAGTTCTAAACTGTTCTTCCTAGAGGTCCAGTAAGAATCATCTCTTATCGATCCAGTATTACTACAGGAGCAAACCTAAACTAAACTAACTTTATTTATACTGGATAGCTCTATCAGTTCTAAACTGTTCTTCCCTAAAGGTCCAGTTTATTTGAGCCAGTATTACTAGAGGAGGAAAACTGGATTCACTCCTCTCACAGGAAATTTCAGGAATCAGACCTCGGTCACGGAGGTGAAAGACAACTAACGACTGTGTTACCACCATAATCTTATGACATCATGTTTCTATGTCTAGACCCCCACGCGGGATTATCCACGTAAGCTCGCGGTTCCGTCGCGATCCACGCGCGTTGGAAGAAGAAGAGGAATCATGGTTCGACCAGGATGACGACGAGGAACAAAATGGCGACGATGACGTCATGGCCCCAGTGAATTCTCCTGAAGAAAATTTTACATCTTGCAACAGTTTCCCCAAGAAGAATGATGTCCTCGCGCCAAGCACGTCGAATAAGGTATGGAATAACGAGTTATTTAATGTTGCTTACATATGGCGTGGTGGCCCAATTAGTTTTTTCTCACGAAGGCTAAATTCGCCATTTTGGGGTACTTTTTTGAAAAAGACGTGAAAAATCTAAGCGATGTGAAAGCATTTTTTCAAATATTTAACTATAAATTAACTTATAATGATACTGTACTCACAATTATAGTACAAATCCCCTATTCACTGCGTACAATCTCAGATTTGGAAAAGGCACTACCCCAAAAATGTCGGCGTGAGAAGGCCAATTCAATGAGCTTCGTATATATCTGAACCACTGACCTGAAATAAGGACTGGACAAAGCATCATATCGAATTCAGTAACCCGATTTTAAAGCCAGAATATTTTAATGAAATGAGATTTATAAATCAGTCAAATTCATGACCAGTCTAATCGTTTGCAGTTTAAGTTTAGTTAGACTATACAGCAAGTATCTTTAAAAGTATAAAGCAAGTATCATTTTATCTATAAAGCTTGTAAAATATAGCTTCCAAAACTTCTTCGAAGTAATTGTAGAACGTTTTATACTGTACACCACAACAAAATGAGGCTTATGGCGGCCATATTTGATGGCACCATTAGTTATTCACCGGCTAATTTAGGAAAAAAGAGAGGCTACTGATGATCAGGGATGGATTTACTGGGGGGGGGTGCGGGGGGTGCACACCCCCCCTAGCCCAGGTCAGGAGGGGTGCAGGGGGGGGTGCTATTTTTCATGATAAAGCAAAAAATTATCAGAGACAAAATGAGATTCAGTAATTTGAGTAATAACATGATGATAAGCGAACTGTGAACAACAATTACAATTCAAATACTGTAGCTAGACTTTGCAGTGGTTAAGCAAGTTGATGGATGTTTAAAGTCACTGGAAAGCAATTGCAACGTACTCGTCCGGAAAATTTTTTTCCCTAAAAAGTTGTCGAT